TCACACAGACACGCACACCCACACTCACACAGACACAGACTCACACTCTCACACACACTCACACAGACACGCACACACACACTCACACAGACACAGACTCACACTCTCACACACACTCACACACACACGCACACACTCTCACACACACTCACACACACACGCACGCACTCACACACACACACACTCTCACACACACTCTCTCACACACACTCACACTTACGCACACACACTCTTCACACACACTATTAATTCAAACACATCTATGACTTAAAATATAGATGTGTGAGAATGTCCCTTACAGAAAGTACTGCACCGGTACAGTGATGTCATCAAATGGTAACACTTTGATATATCTATATAACATGGTACTGATTAATATATTCATTTGAAAACCATATATCTGCCAAGGTAAATGTCCAAAGTAAAAACTTATTTCTATAGTGTATTTTATTACTTAAGGTGTATGTCAAAAGTGTTTAAGATGACTGCATTATTTTGCTCAATTTAGTTTAAATGTTAATTCAGTTTAGTTTAATAGCGATGTTATTTTTTTATTTTTTCAATATTTTTTTATCATTGATATGCTAATATAGTTTTTGTTAATATTTTGAATTTTATGTTTGTATTTTCAGTTTTCACTTTAATTTTAGTTATGGTAATTTTGTTTTTTGTTGTTTTTATTTATTTATTTATTTTTATATTACTATATAGGTTTAATTTAAAATTTTCATTTTATTTTCATATTTATTTGTCTAGTCTTTATTAATTTTTATTTTAGTCTTAGTTTATTTAGTTTATTTTAATACTTAAACTAAACGAAAATTAGATTGCCTTTGCAACTAGCTGAAATTACGTTAATGTTTTTTATATTTATTTATTTATTTCAGTTAATGTTTACTTTTATTTCAAGTAGCAAAAATGCTTTTGGGTCTTTAGTTTTAATTATTAAATTATAACCCTGTAATAATGACTCTATTGTCTTCTGTGGAGCTGTTTTTCAGCTGAAATTGAGTTTTTTATAATTGATGAATTGTGCAGCATTATCACTATTATTTCTTGTATGTGGTTCTTTGAAACAATCTGTATTGCATGAAGCGCTATATAAATAAAAAAGTTAAGTACAGTATTATGAAATATAATCAGCTGCAGGTTGAATGAAAGTGAAGGTGTTATGTGCTTTTCAGGCTGCTGGATCTGTCCTCTGCTCTGCGCTATGAGGACGTGGACATGAACAGCTGTTTGCTGGAGGAGAGACCCAAACGTGTGGTTCTGCCTGATCAGCTGGAGGCGGAGCCGACCTCTGACCCCTCCACGCGACCCCTATCACCCCCGGCGGAGCTGAGCACGCTCACACACGGCAGCAGCAGCGTGAGTCACACACACACACACATACACA